AGTATGCATTCAAGTCCTGCATCCAGGTCATTTATAAAAACATTAAAGAGAACTGGCCCTAAAATGGAACCCTGGGGAACCCCCGCTAGTGACTGGCTGCCAGCCTGATGAAACTCCATTTACTGTCTTTATTCTTTATTGCCCCTGGAATTTTGTGTGTGTGTGACTGCAATACTTACTTTAATGTTTCAGAAATGCAACATACTGCTTGACTGGAATTCTCTGGATGGTAGCAGTTTTGATTACTTATATTTTGCTTACTTATAATGAGCAAAGACCTTTCTATCTTTTAATTGCCATTTAGCCAGCCTTCTTTTTCCCTGTGAAGCCTGTTTCCTTTCTGAAACTGGGCAAGTCTCAACCACTAAGAAAGGGATTATTTTCTGATTTAACTTCTGAAGGATATTCATACTGATTAGACATTTTTGACAAGTTGTGTAATAGAAGACCTGGACTTAAAGTTATGGAGGGTACAACAGCCATTGCAAAAAAAAAAAAAAAGGTAAGAGAAAAACTGTCTGACATTTTCCCTTTCAGTATCAATATAGTCCAAAATATTTTCTTTGTTTTTGCAAAGAACTGGAATGTTCCAAAGGGAAGAATGTCAGTCACAAAACCTTATTCATCATGTATTTGCACAGCAATGCTTAAAGGTCCTTAAAGATCTCAGAGGATTTGAAAGAAATAATTCAGCCAGGTGGCAGAAACAGTGCCATTACCTTCTGGTGGCTGGTCACACACAGCTCCCACAACACACTGGAGCTGACAACTCAAGGCAAGTCAGAGTGAAGAGATTTTATAAACCATGCACCGCCAGATATGTTCCACTAATCAAACATACGAAAATCTAACTGTTTGCAGCTAATGTATCAAGCAAAGGAGAGCTTAAATCTGCAAGACGAACAATGAAAAACATTTTGCTCAGGGCTAAGGGATGTTTCTTGTCTATTCAGTCTGCCTTACAGGTCCCCTAACACTGTTATTGCCGTGATTTAAGTCAATTTGCTTGGCATTTCAGCAAAGCCATAACTTTTTCTTCATATCCATCTATTTATTCTTTATATGTCTAGATAACAGGAGTGTTGTAGCCATGTTGTGCATTATCCACAATGGGTGAAGTTACACCAACTGTGGTCTCAGCACAAGCCTTATACAACATTTAGGTTACAGGAATATCCTAAAAATCAGGTGACAGTGGGCCTTACTTTCCCATCCATGTTTGGTCATGCCACTCTTTGATGGTCTTTTACCTGAAGGGCAATAGGAAGGTATCAACAGCAGACAGGATTATCCTCTGACCTTTTCATTTTCATGTACAACTCACTCCCTTTCTCAAATTCATATTCTGAATGCAAGAGTTATACCTCATAGGTACTGCTCCTCTCCTAATTAAGGATCTCATATTCACAGATTTCCTAGACTGGTGACAGATCTAAATCCCCTGACCAGTTCCCTGGGGTTCCAGTGCTGTTTAGGAGCTGGGATCCACAGGCAATCTCTTTTTATGTGACACCTCCTGCACATATCTGTAACGTGGAGAGGCATGTGGGGATTGTAGACACCTGCAAAGTCCATGTTATCCTTTTAGTTCAAAACTTTTGACTTGAAAGAAGCATGTGTGATTGGAATTGTTGAGATGAAACTGAAGGGATGAAATGTGAATCATAGGGCTCTTGAACATCCCTACACAGCCTGGATTTCAGAATCACTTCATATAAAAGTTACCTACCTTTATTTAGTTGCTAAAATTCACTTCTCTACTTGGAACAGAGCACCAAGATTTCTTTGCTCTGTCTACCTGTTGCACTGGTAAACAAGAATTTAAGAGGAAATAACAGAATTCAAGAGAGGTGAAAAGTGTATACACGTCCTAACTATTGCTAATACGTTATTCCCTGATAAGGAACAAACATTTTTCCACCTCAAAGTAACATGCAATTGCAGTGTGAAATAGTTTTCTTCTTGCAACTTTTTTACAATTGATCTAGCCCCACTAGGCTGGTATCCATCACAACTAGTTTCAGCTATCACAGAAAAAAAGACACACATCTGCAGACTAAACTGAACTAAAAGTGTTTATTTTCTGGAAAGCCTTCTTCACATACCTCACGTTGGCCAGTTTACCTCGCTATTGTGTCTTGTTTAGTAAATTTATCTAAGATGCATTTAGGCTGAAGGTTCTTAATTAACCTAGCACAGCAACTTGGCTTTCTCCTAAATTTGAGCTTTTCAGCAGTGAGAATAGTTCCTGCTGTATCTTTAATTACCTGTGCTTTCCTGGAAGAGCACTCAACATCATCACCTTATGAAGTAGATAGTCAAGATACACAACTTTTTTTTTTTTTTTATGCAGCAATATATTCCTTGTTTAAACAAATACATGTCTCATATCTTTTCCCCTTTCCTTTTCCCTGTATAGGAATACATTTTCAATGTGAATGCATGCTATAATTGCTACATACTGCAGCATGGTTATCAGTCTGAAGCCACGTGGAACCTTGAAAGATTTCTGAACCACAGAGAAGTCTGTAGATAACTACACAATATCACAGAGACAGCCTCTATAACGGATCTTAATTAAAAGACATCTTTCTGTGTTGTAAATTAGTTTTATCTGTACAGCATTCTCTGTTTTCCCATCTTTACAGTCCTATAACTAAGAAAGGTAGTTTAAGAAGGAAAATAATACTGCCAGATGTCCTAATTCATCTCCCCTTTGCTTATACTTGCATGAAACTGGTATTTTTTAAGGATAAAAAAAGTCTGAATTTTAAATTCCAAATGTGATCAACCACAAGCATGAACTTATCAAGCTGTGTATAAGTAACTAACATTCAACACAGCAGCACTACTGGCTTCCATACCCTATACACTTTTCTCCTACCCTCCACACCAGAATCATTACAAATTCAAGAAAATGATTACAAGCATCTAGATCCATAACATTCGGATCCAACAGTAAGGATCTCTTTTATGTTAATTTCTTTGCCCAGAGGCTTTTCTGCAACACTGAATTAAAGAAGCCACTGTACCATTCCTGTGACAAGGCAATTATCTTGGAATTAAGACTAAGCAGAACACCCTTCTTTTCAAAGAGTTAGTCTTCCAAAGGCTTTGGAGAACAGACAAAATGACTTACAATGCTTATGTCATCAGTCCATAGAAGTTTTGTATCTGCACACACCCTGTTCTAAGATGAATGGGCAAAGTAGCTATTATGGTTAAGATGTTCTTTATCTGTATTTTTTTTTAATAGGGCATATTAAAAGATTTCTTTTTATTGTTGCTGCAGTTGAATAATTTGAGGGAACTGCATTACTTACTAACAATCCCTTAGTGACACCCACCCAAATTTTTCAGACCTAAAGGAGAGAAGTGTTTCCACCCTGTAGCATCAAAGCATATCTGATGTCTGCTGAGTGAGGGTTTAATGACTTTAGAGACAATACTAGCGAAGTCCTAAATTGGTGTGAAAATTCTCAGTGAGGAACCATCATTCCCCTCCCATTTGCAGAAGTCACAAAGGGAACCAGAGGTGTATTCCTTGCAGAGAAATAAAAGAACTTGCACTGAACAGCTGTCCTCGCTGGTATATGTTCAGGATGTGTTAAAGCATATTAGAAGACAAAACACATACACTAGAAATCCAGAGTAGTGAATCCTGTCCCCACTTCACCACTCTACCAATGTGGAAGATATCATTCTGATTAAAGAAAAGGATCACAGACCATGTGCTGAGTTATGACCGATGAAGTGATACTGATGTGGCTTCTCCCTGTACAAGCAGATTTCTGAAACAGGCTACAGGAGTAATTACAGAATAACACTGCCTCTGTAAAAGGGAACAGGGATTAAGATTTCTCTAAACCTTTATCCTTGGCAGAGATGTCCATGCTACATGCAGGATTTTCCCCCAACAAAAGTATTAACAACAAAGATGATCACATTTGGTATCACCAGGCAGAATGTAGATAGAACACAGCAAGGAACAGAGGTGCTACATATCCCATAAACATTCAGCATGAACAAACAGAAAAGACCAATTCCAAAAATGGGTCCATCACCTCAGTTCCTACAGATAACATTAATGTTAATTCTACTGTATTTGAACTGTCAGCACATCAAATTCAAAAGAACAATAGGGTTAAATACCTGGATGTAGAAAGAAATAATCTGTAGCTGTTGGAGAATAACATGAACCATTTCCCATCATCTTCAAGTTACACTACAGATAGATTTACTAACTGCCTTTCCAAAGGAATAGAAAAAACAAACTCAGAGGAGACATTATTTTAAAACCCAACTGGGTAGCCAGCAGCATATTTGCGCCTTGATTTGGAAAGAGCAAAATGAAAAACGGTGCATAGCTGATAGTCTATTTCTGATACAACAGATAGTATCAGTTAGACATGCAACCTGCACACTCAGAATGGTTGTGTCACTACTGCTACAAAAGTAAGAAGGTATTTTGAAGCCTGAGAGACTGTTCAAGAATATAATATCAGAAAAAAGAACAAAATCTTTTTTTTTCCTTCCTGTTGAACACCAACAATAGTCTTCTACAACAAATCATTATCCCTGGCATTTATAGTAAAGGTCTACTAGTGAATCTGCACTAGAAAAGAAAGGAAGAGAACAAGAAGACAAACACCAGCCGCTCAGCAAAAAGCATGACTAGGATATCAGACATATTATGGATAAGAGTGTCATGAATTGGCAGATGTAGTGAGGAATGAAGTTGTTCATTATTGTTGTGATTAAATGAGCACAACACATTGGGATTGCAGTTTCAATACCAGAAGCTCAGTACTAATGCAAAACTGAAATTCAAGATAATGTTTTTAAGTAAAAGTGTTCATTGTCAAAAGTGTAGTAAAAAATGTTTAGGAGCTAAAAAAAGGAAATGCACAGATACTGTAAACATCAAGAATTTCTTCATATACAGCACTAAAATATTTATATTCTGACAACAGGAAAAATATGTTAGAAGTTTTACTTACTTTGGATGGGTAAATTCATCCAGTAGGACAACCTTTTCTATCAGGTCTCCACCAATGGTTCGGGCCAACTCATAGAAATCATTCTTGGAATATGTCTCAGAAGGCAGCCAAAAGGAGATGTCATTAATCAAAGGTGGGTATCTACTGAGTGGCTAAAAAAGACCAAAAAAAAAGATTAAAAAGATACTTTTGCAAGCGTCTGGCTTTGTCAGGAATACCTATAACTCTGTTTTGAGTTGGTATAATACACACAGTGCACATTTTGAAAGCTTTCTGAAATACTTTTGAAATGCAAGCTGACCTCATAAACAACTGAGATACAGGACTTTGTACTAGAAAATTTCTTTTAAAGATCCTTTCATAACCACTTCAATTCATTCATTCAGAGGAAAAAGACTTCTAGCTGCCAATTCCTCAAACTCACTCAATCTTCTGTTCTATCCTCAGCCAACATCTTGCAGGTAAATAACAAAGATGACACCTTTGGTCTTCCCCCCAACCTCTCTTTTTTTTTTTTTTTTAAATGAGGTTGAACTTACTGGTGCACTACAGTAAAAACTTGTCTCCGAAGTTTGTATAAGCATTAATTCTGCTAATTATGAGCAAGAACTAAATTAAAATACCTTTTTTTTTTTTTTTAATTTCCCCTAAATGTCTTGTTTCTGAGATTCTAAAAGAAAGGAATAAAAGAATAAAAGAAAAAACTTGCATTTGCTAAAATTAACATTTATGAACCTGACACCCAATTTTGTTTCAGAGCTGCTTGAAAGGAAGAGATCATTTTAATACAACTATTCATTGGGTAAAATTTCACTTTTTAAAAGCCTTTTCCCAATTTTTCACAACTTCAAAAAACCTTACCATATGAACATACAGAATTTTTATGTATTTTGTATTGTTAAATAACATTTTTTATCATTTGTAATGTCCAATTTCATGCTAAGAAAGTCATATAAATAGGTGCCTGCATATTGGAAGGTTACAAATAGGGACACACTTTGGCTTAAAGAGAGGGATCACTTCACTTCCCAGTAGATCTTTATAGGTTTTACACAAAAAATGTATTGCTAGTAGCATAACTATTAATTCCACAAATACCACAACAATCTCTTAAATATAAAGGGGAAACCATAGCATCTTCGCTGCAGACAGAATGGCCTGTTTTTGTGGTCAAAACAGTGCATCTTGTTACTTGCAAAAAAAAAAAAATAAAAGGAAGAGAAAGAAAACAAGACAATTATTAATTTTTCAGTTTAGATTAAACTTCCCCGGAGTCAGTGGGTTTCAGACTTTGTTGAGGTGTTTCCCCCTTTAAAGAAAAGAAACTGGCAATGCTCTTCTTTCATGCCATCTAGGTCATGCAATATCTTACTCCTGCCTTCCATTAATGTATTGCATTTGGATTTTGTGTACTTTAGCACAAGGTTTTGGGGGTCTGAAAGAGAAAACAGCGTTTCTTATTTTGTGTGTGTGTTTTTGACAGATGTGGTGTACACCTTGGTCCATAGATCATAGCATCTCACTCAAAAATGTATTCCTTCCCTGGGAATGTTTTATGATGCAACGGTGAAATCCTAAGTGAATACCTGCTCAAGCAATAAACCTGTTAAAAAGGCAAATTTATAGCATGCTGATTTACACAAATCCTGGTCTGTACAGTGTAAACCAATCAATAAACATATGATTAGGAATACAATGTAATCTTAAAATTAATACCTTCCCTCTCCAACCCGGTAAGTAAGTTTCGAATTGCAAAGAATTATCCAATGCGTTAAAGGAATTAAATTGCCACATGAATTCATATCCTGTACATCAAATTCAAAAAAAAAAATCATACAATAAAGCCATCATACAACAGCTGTTGATGAAATACCAGAAGTTAATGAATTAAATGTAAACATTGCCTCTGCTGCATCAAAGTCACAGCTGTAAATGTTGGAAATACTCCTCCACCAACAACCTGATACACACCTTAATGTAAATAAAGTTATGACCCTGCAGTAGACACCTATATTCTCACCCCAGACTACCACTACATTTACCAGTGATATATTTCAGTAACCTACTGAGCACGTTTCAAAGCTTGTAGGGACTAATCAAAAACTCCCTGAACTCCCAGCTTCACAGCGTTTAGTTTTCAAACATATGTGGCTCATGAGCCTAAGCATGACCACTCAGTTTGGGCACGTGGTTTCTTTCACTCCCACAGAAAGAAACTGAAGAAAAATGATTATATATTCAAGTAAGTCAGTAATACCTAAAACTCAACAGGAGCAGAGTACCCATAATTCAGAGCGAGTTAGTATTAGTGAGTATCAATTTCAAAAGCAGCAGGCACATTAAAAGAGCACTCTCTTTCCCACTCTAAAAGAGGTGTACACAGGGACCCAGTATGGCTAGATCTTGCAAACTTACCTGAATACTGACTTAGACTATAAGTGTCATCAAATTCAATATGAGAAAATTTATTCTGAGTTGTAGTAATCTGCAGGATCTGGTCTTCCTTCTGCTTTACCAACTCTATAGGAAAACTGTTTCATTGAGTAAAACCATGGTGTTACTAACTTTGATACAGAATCATAATTTTGTGTGCACACACTTGAATATGCTTGTGTGTGTGTTGAGGAGGGTTATGTGGAAGGACAAATGCTTAAAGCAGTAAGCATAACTTATTTATTATTAGATACTTACGCATTATCAGAGCCTTATAATACTATATATATATATATATATACACACACACAAGAGAAGGCAACGCAAGGCAATAATCCCATATTGTACTTTCCGTTCACCACCTGGCTGCAGTCACTATCATTGCAGAAAGTATATCAACACTAAAGTCAGTATAATGATAACATTCCTAGCTCTCAAATGTATTGATCTGTTTGTTTTAGAGCTACATGAGTTACGTAATTGTTTATTAGCCACACTTAAAATGTGAAGAGCATAGGACAACCATTTCCAGATGGCAGGTCAGAATGAAGTTACTAAGGTTGCACAAAGACAACCCGGCAAACACATCCTGTGGCCTAACAAGTCCAATTGTCAATACTGTCCTCCTGTCTGAACTCCCCTGCCCTTGAACAAGAAGAGTCTAAAGCCTATCAATTTTAATGGCTCTTCAGGTTCAAGGCAAACAGCAGCTCCAAAGACTGTTTTCTTATGAATTTACAGACGTTTTAGAGACCCCTCTCAAGCATCACGCGTTCTTTCTACATTTTTGTCTCAGCTGTCATGTCCAGCCACCACCTCCAACTACCTGTTCCTCACAACTTTGGTTGTGAGCACTTCTCCAGCAAAGCACTCAGAGAAGCCAACAGGACACTGGTCCCAACTCCCAGCATACCACTTCCATCCCTCATTCCACCACCTGTTCAGCCCCCTCATGTGTTTTTTTTTTGTTGTTGTTTGTTTGTGTGTGTATTTGTTTTTTAAAAGATTAGCACATAACCCAAAATAGGTTCAGGAGAAGGTAGAACTGATCCCACCAGCAGAACGCTGCTGCCAGGCACCGGTCAGCCCGGGCAGACAGCACTGCTGACACAGGCAGCTCGGCACCATTTCTCCGGTCACATCGCAGTTTTGTCACCATGACACTACTTTAATGTTGCATTTGCTTTCCATTTCTACAAGAAGGACATGGACCTGTCAGAACGAGTCCAGAAGAGGGCCACGAGGATGATCAAGGGGCTGGAGCACCTCTCCTGTTAAGACAGGCTGAGGGAGTTGGGTTTGTTCAGCCTGGAGAAGGCTGTGCAGAGACCTTACAGCGGCCTTCCTGCACCTACATGGGACCTGCTGGGGATGGACTCTGTGTCAGGGAGGGTAGGAACAGGACAAGGGGGAATGGCTTTAAAGTAAAATAGGGTAGATTTAGACTAGATATAAAAAATAAATTCTTTATTCAGTGCTGAGGCACTGGCACAGACTGCCCAGAGAAGCTGTGGATGCCCCATCCCTGGAGGTGTTCAGGGCCAGGTTGGATGGGGCATTAGGCAACTTCATCTGGTGGGAGATGTCCCTGCCCATTGCAGGGGGTTGGAGCTGGATGGGCTTTAAGGTCCCTTCCAACCATTCTGTGTTTCTAAAACACAGGTCTGTTCCTCCACCACTGCAGTTCACAGCCTGGTGCAGCTAGCTGAAAATTGCATTGACCAGCGGTTTATGTATAATACGTGCTGGATGAAGAACTTCAGCATGTTGAGGCATTGGTAGACAGCTGGAAACACTTGGCCTCTGCATGGTGCCACCCTAGGGCTCTACTCTTGATGCCCTGACAAAAGCAATCATGTGGTTACCAGCAGAGTCACCTCTGCTCATCTGCACAGGACAGTCAGCTAGCCTGGGCCCAGACACCTCACCGCTGTGCAGGAGAGAGCATAGCAAGGTGGAAGCTACCTCCTCTTAAGGAAAAGGGCTGGAGACGGCACACAGGGAGTGGTGGTAGTGAACCAGCCAGCACAAGGCCACAGAACATCTTCAGCCCAGAGTTCTGAAAACAGGAAGGCCCTCAGGGCTTTCCACAAATATTTAGTGTTAGCAAAAAAATACATTTTTCCAGACACAGTAATTATGAGTGCAATATGCTGAGGGGACAGGAGAAGTTTTGCGATGTGGCTGTTCACTCAGGTGCTGCCAGCTACAGCTGGGATGACACAAACAAGGGAACTACGAACATGGCAGAGGAAAAAGCTGTAGCTGCGTTTTGACAGCTGTGACACAAATGCAAGGTTAACAATGACAAGTACTAAAAACTGGGTTAGCAACTACACAACAGCCAAACTATTAAAAAGCCAACCATGCTTTACTGCCATCAGCAGTCTAGTCAGAAAAATACGAGACTTAGCAGCATTGTGGCTGCCAAGCTTTAACAGCCCTGCATTGCCCATGTTTTGGAAAAATACGTATATAAACTCTACAGTGTTTCAGTGTAATGTAATATTCTCATTGAAATGAAAGCTACATTCCTGTAACAGCTAAACTTTTCTTAATATATTCCAGGCTGAAACAACATTCAGTGTCATCACAGGAAATTTAAACACGCAACAGGCACGAAATTTGAAGTTGCAAATTTACAGCTTTAACTTAGCCCCCTGCATATAATGAAGTATCCTGTATTAGTGTGTATACTGCTGGATTTACACTTTTGTAT